CCTTAGGAGCTCTGGTAGCCCAGTGGTGAAGGCATTCACCTGCTAAAAGTTCAGCGATTTGAACCCACCAGGCACTGTGTGGGAAAAAGATGTGGCTGTCTGCTTTCACAAACATGTACAGCCTTAGAAACCCTGTGGATCACTGTGAATCTAAATCAACTTAAGGGCAGTGGGTAGGTTCAGTAAATATTATTTTCAAATTAGTTTATGAGATTTTCATTGCTGGACTTATATTTTAATAAAGTGATTTTTTTTTCCCCTACATATAAGTTCACTCCTTATGCCTAATTTTGACACCACCTTGTGTTGAATTATTGGCTCCTGCAAAAAGGGCTTGGCAGCAGCATCCTTTGACCTCCTTTACTTTTACAAGGGGGAAGAAGGACCTAGAACAACATCAACAATTCAAGGCTGATTCCTATGAGGTCAGACACGCTGACACCAACCATCCCTCCCACAGTACTCTGTACTTCTCTACTGGGTTCAACAACTCCTTGCAGTGGCCACACAGAACTCACAGACAATACTCATGAGTACGGGGTTGACAGAGAAATAACTGGTTACAATTCAGGTTCAGGAACACTTAGGATACAATTCTTCAACCAGGACAGTTTCTTCTCAGGCACACTTCTCTCTGGCCTCAGCCTCTACCCTGCTCTGGCTAGTGTTACAAAGCTCCTTTACTTTTGCCGACAGGCATCCAAAAAGGCACCCACTCCACCAGCAAGCCTCCTGCCTAAAGGCATGCTGCTTTCCTGCTCCGTGGGCCAGGCCGCTATCTCTCTTTGTTCTGTTGCCTCTGTTGCCGCCATCTTTCTGCTGTCTCCCTGCAGTATCGGTGCAGGGATCGTGGGTCCAAAAATGAGCTCCATTCCTGGCTGGTCTTTCATAATGGTTGTGAGATTCCCACTCTCTGCCTTTGGGATGTTCATTTTAAGCCTAGCGGGATGGCAAAACTGACAATCATCACATTAGAGTTCCATACACTTTATTTCCATGGTCCTACCCGCACAAGGGTACCATGTATGTTATTTACATTATCAGCAAGCTATCCAGTCCCCCTGGTGAGCTATAAGCACCTTAATTTGCATAATACCACCCCATCTTCTGATGGATATCAAAAAGACTATGGCTAGAAGAGCCATATTAAGTAATTCACTGCACCACCACTCTTGGAAGGTAAGAGTACATTTCCTAAAAATTCACTTATCCCACTTGGGAAAGGATCAAAACTGGAGATCCTGGATAGAGTGTGAGGAAAAGCATGGAACAAAATCCAAAACACAATAATGACCAGAATTACGGTTGGATGGAGTCTGGTGGGACTCCCAATACTATGCCCCCAGGATACACTTCAGGCCTGGAATAAAACTCTCCCAGGGGCTGGCTCTTAGCTCAATAGTAAATAAGATGCACATACAGACCACTCAACCCAGGGTGACGCACCCACAGACTCTGTGGAGATGCATCCCTTGGAGCAATTGACCACAGGGCACCAGAGAGGCAACATTCACACGGAAGAAATGCAGGACACACAGGAGTGCATAACTATAAGGGGCATGGGATGATGGTAGTGGTTACTGGGCAGGAAGGGGAGGAGACTGGGTTAGGGTTGGGGATGGTAACTGGGGAGTGAAACCAAATGTACATGAAATGTTGAATGTAAAATAAATTCTGCTCTGTAAAGTTGCACCTAAAGCACAATAAAAAATAAAAAATAAAAAAATTCACTTACCGAGCTCTGGTGGTGTAGTGCTTAAGGCATTTGGTACTAACCAGAAGGCTGGTGGTTCAAATCCACCAGCCACTCCTAGGAAGGAAGGTTGGGGAATCTACTTCTGTAGTGATACCGCCTCAAAAACCCAAAGAGCCTTGGAAACCCAAGAAGGAGTTGCTATGAGTTGGATCCAACTCCACAGCAGTGAGTTTAGTTCTTGGTTTGGTTCCAGCCATATGTATCAAGGTTCTGTATTGGGTATTTTGGTTGGGTGGGTGGTTGGTTGACTGGCAACATGAGAGTTTGAAGTGAGACAAGAGAAAAAAATCATTTAATACTGGAATAATTTTTGGTAAGGAACCCTGATGGTGCAGTGGTTAAGTCTTTGGCTGCTAAACAAAAGGCCAGCAATTTGAATCCATCAGCTGCTCCTTGAGAGAAAGATATGTAGCCATTTGCTTTGGTAGAGATTACAACCTTGGAAATCCTATGGGGCAGTTATACTCTCTCCTGTAGGTTCACTATGACTTGGAATTGATTCAACAGTGTGGTGCAATGGATCACTTTTATATAGCTTGGAACAAGTTGTCAAATCCAGGAAAGAAGTAGAGAGTAACACGAGAGGGATAGCTGGTGTTAGAATTGGGAATGTTGGGAAAAGGAGGCATGTCTGCCCTCTGCCTCATAGGAAACAGTCTTGGGCTATGATCTTGATTCTGTTTGTCTCCTGTGATATTGGATGAAATGGTCAGATGAGATGATGGCACCACACCATTTTTACAGACAGCAATGAGTTAAAATTCTTAAAGGAAACAAACAAACAAAAAACAAACCTCAAACCCATTGTATCTAGTTGATTCCAAGTCTGTACTCCCAAGAGTTATGTAGTAGAACTGGTCCATGGGGTTTTCTTGCCTGTAATCTTTGTGGCCCCAGATAACCAGGCTTTTCTTCTGGGGTGTGACTTATTGGGTTTGAACAGCCAACCTTTAGTTTAATACTTGAGCACAAACCATTTGCACCATACATGGATCTTCTTAGGAATCTTAACACTCAATTATTATAATCCATACTTTAAAAAGTTTCTCATTGACCATAAACACAGCAAAACATAAACCAATTCAACCATTTCTACATGTCCAAGTCAGTGACATTAATTACATTCTTAAAGTTGTGTAAACATTCTCATTCTCCTTTTCTGAGATATTCCTCCCCAATTAATATAAATTCACTGCCCCCTAAGTTTTCTATCAATATTTCAAGTTGTCATTTTGATCCCATTTACATAGTTCTTAAAAGAGTGTAATGCTCAAGGCAGACATTTTTCACTAGTTAAGCTAAACTACTGTTTGGTTTTAAGAAGACTTCAGTGTTGGAAAGAGTGCTGTTACACTCAGAGGATTGCAACTAATGCCACGGAACAAAATGTTTATGCATTATTGAATGGAAAACGAATTTGCTCCTTTGTAACTTTCTCCCAAACCACAATACTTGAAAGAAAAAAAAAGACTTCAGGGCATATTTTTTACTTAAGGTTTAAAGATTATTTCAGGTCAATAGTGCCATGGGTTTATCCAGCCTCCAAGGCTCCAGAAAGCCTGGAGTGCACAAGAATTTTAAAAACCTTTTCTGTAATGTCCCACTTTTGACCAGAATTCTTCTAAAATGTTCAGTAATAGTAGCAGGGTACCAGCCAGTTCTACCAGTCTCATGGCAAAGGAGACAGTTGTTCATGGAGGCCATTAGACACACATTCCATATCCTCCTCCTATTCCTGACTCCTATTCCTTCTTCATCTGTTGTTCTAAGCAAGTGGATACCAATATTCCTACCTTGGATGGCCACATGCAAGTTTTTTTAAACCTCTTTTAGTAATGAATGGAAAGATGTGGGGGGTAGGGAATGAACTTTTTAGGCTCTGTATAACAAAGTCTACAAAGATTATCAACAGACTCAAAGTGACAACAACAAAAAGTGGGTAGGTTTTAGCTACCCTTCTCCTTAAATCTCTAATCTCCATCAGCTTCCAAAGTCTCCTCAAATAATAATACTAACATTAAAATGAGTAAAATTATATGTAGAGGTAAGTGGGAATAAAAAACCTCAGTAAAAAACTTGTTACATAAAAAGTGTGTTTATTTTACAAATATTACTTCAAGCCAGCCCCTGTAGTCCGTGCCTCCATCCAATGTATTTGCAGCTTCAATTCCCTTCAGTATAATAGATTTTCTTAATCTGTTACTGGTCAGACTACCTGAACTTGAAGCCTGGCTCTGCACTTACTAGTGATTGCCCGAGAGTCACTTAAATAGAAAATAATTTAAAAAAACAAAAACAAAACAGAACAACAACAAAAAACAAACCCTACATCATAAGACTTATGAGAACATTTAAGGAATTACTTACTCCTCATTTCATAAAGTTAACCTAGTGTTATTTGTTCTGTTATAAGGCCTTGTCGGTATTTTATTTTATTTTATTTTTTTAGCAAATTCTAAAAATACAGGAACGACCGTTTATAAGGCAAACAATAAAAAGCAAACATTTTAACAATCAAGCGTCTTGTAATTTTCCAGCCATAACAGGTTGCAGTGCATTTCGGAAAAGATGTCTCTGGCTCTCCATTGGCTACGTAGGAGAAGCGCAGTAGTTTGTGAAAATGTCCGGCTCGGAAGCAAGGATGCAAGGAGCCTGAGCAAATTTTTTTCCCTGCGGAACTCATTTCGAGTATAGGGATTTTAACCGGTAGGATTTGAGACTCGTTCAACTTCCGGTAGCACCGGAAGCACTGTTAATATGGCGTCTTCCTCGTTAAACGTGCCAGCGATAGCTTCTGGAAAAAGACAATTTCATAACCAGAAGTCAAAGCCGGAAAACCAAGGTAAGTTTGTATTAGAACCAAAGCCTGGCTTTTGTGGGTTTTGGATTGAGATTTTATTCTTTGGCTGTGGATGTGTAGGGCCTTCTTGATTCTGTACTCTGGAGCTGAGAATTGAAATTGCTGACAACGGACGGGTCGAAGTGGGGTTTGACCAGGTCCGGAAGAAAAAAAAAAAGTGGTTTGACCAGGTCCGGAAGAACTGCGATGGCCAGTAAGGTGCAAACCACGTGCTCCTCATTGCTTTGCTAACGACTCCCCAGAGCTAAGGTGTAGAGCAATCCGTTTCCAATAAGGAATGAGGATTAGTAAACTGCGGAGGACGCTGCGAGACTTTACAGTGCGACTGTAGCTGGAGGTCATTGGCAACAGGAGGAATGAGATGGGGTAGAGTAGCGGTGAGCGTCGTCATGTACTGGAGTGGACGCTGAAAATAAAGCAATGAGGCAGACATAGGAATGTGGGGAAAGAGATCTGGAGTGTCTTTCTTCACCGTCAATGACAGGTAGAGAGGCTGGAGAAATAGCCCGCGGACAGCTCAAGCAGTGTTAAAGGGTTAACTCTCATTCTAGAGGAATTAGGTAGATATGAAAGGGTTATTGCTGGCTTTTTTTTTTTTTTAACGTATTTAGCAAAGTATGTTGTTGTTATGTGCCGTCGAGTCAAACCCGACTCATAGCGACCCCTCCTTGGGTTTCCGAGGCAGTATCACTACGAAAGTAGGATTGCCCAACCTTCCTTCCGAGGAGTGGCTGGTGGGTTTGAACCGCCAGCCGTCTGGTTAGCAGGCACGTGTCTTAGCCACTATGCTACCAGAGCTCCCTAGCAAAGTATACAACTTAAATAATGTGTGTAGCTTACTAAAACTATACACAGGAAGCCAGCATTCAGTTCGATAAGTAAAATAGAGCTTCATTACACCTTAAGAGGCTCCTTTGTGCACCTTCTAGATCATATTTTTTCCCCAAAACCAGAAGTAACGCAAGTAACCAGTCTGAATCATGTTAGTCATTCTGCTTTTCTTCATTGTCTTTATTACTGTTACTCATACCCAAAATGATCCAGTTTTGCCTCCTTTTGAATTTATATCAGTATAGACTGTGTATTCTCTCTTGCTTAAGCTTAATGTTGTTTTTGCTATTCAAGCAAGATGATATTTGTCACTGTAGCATATTCTTTTCATTGCTCCTGTGGTGTTTCTTTGTGTGAATATACCCCCCCCCCCTTTTTTTTAACCATTGATGGGCAGTGCTGCTTTAAATATTTTTGTACATGTCTTCTGGTACACTCCTTTGAGAATTCGCATAGGAGTGAAATCATTGGAATGTTGGGTATGTGCAAGTAATGCTCAATATTTTCCAAAAGGATTGTATTCATTTACACTCCCATTAGCAGTGCATGAAAGTTACATGAATTAACACTATTACGTGAATTTTGAATTTTTGTCATTTTGGTTAAGTATGAAATGGTGTCTAGTGGTGATTTTAATTTGACCTTTACTGATTGTTAATGAGGTGGTGTGTCCTTTTCACTTTGTGTGTGTGGGAGGAGGTGCATATGCACATACACACATATTACACACACATGCCTAGGCTCCACTGCAGGAAAGTCAGAAAAGCTACTTCAAGTTAAAATAGTGATGTAAACAAAATGGTATTTGTATCTTAAATTCCACAATAATTTAGTGTAATAGAAGTTTCTTGAGTACCCACTGTGTGTCAGCACATACCAACCTGCGTAGATGTAGGAAGGGTCCCTGACCTTAAGGAACTTGGTTTTAGTCATTAGATGACTAAAACATAAACAGATCATTTTAATAAAGCATGTTGATGATAACAACAGAGGCATTTTCTTTGATTCTTGAATAATATAAAAACCAGAGGAAGATAAAGTACAAGGAAGAGGATTGGGAAGTTTGTCAATATGTGCATACAACTGTTCATAAAGTGTACAAAAGACAGATAAAATGTGATGTGTAAAATTTTTACCTTCTATAGATGAAGCAGAACTCCTCACTGTCCCTGATGGTTGGAAAGAACCAGCCTTTTCCAAAGAGGACAATCCTAGGGGACTCTTGGAGGAGAGCAGTTTTGCAACTTTATTCCCAAAATATAGAGAGGCCTACCTGAAAGAATGCTGGCCATTGGTGCAGAAAGCCTTGAATGAACATGTATGTACATTTTATCCATTTCTTTGAGATTTATCTGTTGCTTATACCTTTACTTTTAAATAAGTGTTTGTCACTGTGTTGAAATATCACTCATACTATGCCCACGAGTCAGAAAACCACATTTCTTTTTGCTTTGTTTAAATCTTATTTTTTCTGTTAAGAATAAATACTTAGTATTCCTAACTATAAATTGTTTCTGAATCCATGATAATTTGTTTTCACTTTACACTTAGTCCCCTACCCAGCTAGGAAAATGTTTGAAAGGGAAAGTCTGTTCTCATCTAGGAAGTAGATTGGAGATTGGAGCTGGGTCCAGGATGGGGAAGCCATATAGCTTTACATTTCTACCTTAGATATTAAGTGTAGTCTCAATTAGAATAATGTATATTTTTTATACTAGAAATGATCTTTAGTAAGTACAGTGTATTCTAAACAAAGTATAAATAGTTTCAATTGTCTGGGCTTCTAATAGTCTGTAAAGAATGAAAGTAATTATGTATTTATTATTTATGCTTAACTACCCAGCTTCTTCAGAGAGAGAGTTGAAAGAATTTGGAAGATGGCTTAATGGCACAGCAATTGATTAATAGTCTGATTAGGCTAAAGGCTATGATTATCTGAAATTGAATTCAGTTTTAGACAACTACTTGTTTGCTCTGTCTTTAGCACATCAATGCAACCTTGGACCTGATTGAAGGCAGCATGACTGTTTGTACAACAAAGAAGACTTTTGATCCATATATCATCATTAGGGCAAGAGACCTAATAAAACTTTTAGCAAGGAGTGTTTCATTTGAGCAGGTAAATCTAAGATTGAAAAGACTGCTTTAGTTGCATCAACATTAGAGATAGTATATAATAGCATATAAAGTCTTTTGCTGTAGACTTTTCACATTTATGCTTAAATATTATTACAAATATATTAAAGAAATATATTTGTAAAGAATATTGAAAGGAGTATTATGTTTGTTTTAAGGCAATACGAATTCTTCAGGATGATGTTGCATGTGACATCATTAAAATAGGTTCTTTAGTACGAAATAAGGAAAGATTTGTAAAAAGAAGACAACGGCTTATTGGTCCCAAAGGATCTACATTAAAGGTACTTTGTATCAGTGGAAAGTTTGAATACCTTTCTATCAGGTTTTAAATTTCAGTGTATGAAATTTCAACTTAACTTGTTCTTTTCACATAGGCATTGGAACTATTAACAAACTGTTACATTATGGTTCAGGGAAACACCGTTTCAGCCATTGGACCCTTCGGTGGCTTAAAAGAGGTGAGTGAAAACTATGATCTTTAGTTAATTTTCATCAGAGAGGAAATTAAACAATTGGGTTATAATATAATAGTTGATTGAATTATAAAGGACTTTATAATTGTTTTATGTTCTTAGAATGTGTGTTGTTTGATTTCTCATTAGTAAATAATCTTTACTTTATGTTCTTTGAAGGAATCACCACTCCTGGAGCCTAGCATATTGTGACCAACTGTGGAAAAATTTATTTCTGAATTAGAACATATGCTCATCATTACCAGTACAAATTTTAGTTGGCCATTTAAAATCTTGGTTTTGTTGTATGTCTAGTTACCCATTAAACCCATGCCATTGAGTCGATTCTAACTCATAGTGCCCCAAAGGTTTCCAAGGCTGTAAATCTTTACTGAAGCAGACTGCTCCATCTTTCTCCTGTGAGCAGCCAGTGAGTTCAAACTGCTGACCTTTCAGTTAGCAGCTGAGCGCTTGATCGCCATGCCGCTAGGGCTCCTATGATCTGATTAGTTAGATGTGCTCGAATGATTGGAGACTTCAGTGGATCTAATTTGCAGTAATGTTTTCAGCCAGTAGAGGTCAGACTCTGAAAACTTTCCTTCAAGATATATTTTGTTTTTTCTGAATTTTTAGTGTAGAGTTAATGTTTTCTTGAACATTTTGTTTAACTTGTCAAATAGTTACGAGAAAATCTGTGGAGCAGAGACTTTCTCTTCACTCTTTTTGATGCTATTGTCATCTGGATGTGGCTGTGAGGTCTTGGGCCTTGGTTCCTTTCCAGGTCCTATTAAGAATAATTTTATTTTGACTTCTTTCTCCTAAATTATCTATCCTTTTCTCATAGGGCAATAATAACTTAAATATATTGAATATTTTACAGTTTTGTAATATCTTTAACATGTATTACACCTTAATTAATTTTTATAACAGACTTTTGAGATAGTTTTATTTCCGTACTACCAGTGAGAAAGCTGGAACAGTAAAATTAAGTGACTTTCCCATATGAAGGTGTGGTGCCATTATTTGAACTCATACTTTCTAATTCTAAAATTAGCCCTCTTCCCATTGCATAGCTCCAGAATATCGTGATAGTTCTGGGTACCATATTTTAGCAGGAAAGTTGAGAGACTTCATTGTATCCAGAGGAGGGGACTATTATTACAAAAGTTCTAGAAGTTACTCAGAGCAGTTAAAGGGACTACTACAGTGAGAGCTGGATGACACAGGACTGCCTGTTTTTCTAGGTCTTACAAACTATCACTACTGATGGAATGCAGACACTACTTTTCTGTCATTTCATTTAGAGGAAAATATTAGAATTTCCCTTCTCTCACACATTTCCACCTTAACCTCGGTTCTAACTTCCACAAGTTTACTGTATATTCAATTTGGTAGCCATTGCCAGGTACTTTGATATTCTGAATGAAGTACAGTAGTTCTTTCCTATCCAATGCATTGAAATCTTTGTGACTAATTAAGTTATTATTCATAAATTTCAGGTTCGGAAAGTAGTCCTAGATACTATGAAGAATATTCATCCGATATATAACATTAAAGTGAGTATTAGTTATATATTACTACACTGCTAGTTGCTAAATTTCTTTTAGGTACACAGACTTCTTGAAATTAAATATTTTATGAAAGCTAATATATAAAACAGATAAAGCAGAGTTATTTTGGGTAAATTAGAGGTAGAGCTGAGCCTACTCAACTCTATCTCCACTTCACCCCAGTTTATAGATTGTTGTTGTTGTTATGTGCCTTCGAGTCGGACCCGACTCATAGCGACCCCTCCTTGGGTTGCCGAGGCAGTATCACTACGGAAGTAGATTGCCCAACCTTCCTTCCGAGGAGTGGCTGGTGGGTTTGAACTGCCAGCCTTCTGGTTAGCAGTCAAGTGCCTTAGGCACTATGCTACCAGAACTCCCAGTTTATAGATAGAGGACACTTTAAAAACTATTGAAGGAAATACTGTAATGTAGTATATAATTCTTATATAATGAAAATAAAGCATCACAGAATTTGTCATAGATTATATTGATATAGTAGTATACTTCTAATAAATATAGTCTGGGATATCTCATCACATGAATACATTTTTTTGAAATTTAATACTCAGATACTAGGACTTTTGAGAGGTCTTTTGTGTGTACAGAGTTCATGTTATACTTGGAAATGTAACCATGGTATAATGAGCCATTGTGATGGATATCTGTTGAGCAATCTGTTTAAAAGTCTCTACTAGATTGAAGTGAAAAAGGAATTTTAATTGCATTGGGACATTGCATAAAACAGGAGAGCAAGTGGCACATCTGTTGCCTGATTTGCATCCTTTAATGTGCTAATGTCTATAAAATTCAAATGGAGTGGCAGAAATGTGAGAATACTGATTTTGTCTAATCATGCACAAGTTTATCCTGTTTTCTCTTTCCCTGTGAAAGCTCTTGCTAATGAACACTTCCTGCTTATGGGGAACATATCAAACTAAGAAACCACTCTTTTTCTGTTATTAACTTGAATTTTAAGGGTTTAATAAAATAATGGTCAAAATGCTGAATTACTTTCATTTTCACCTCAAATACTTTAATAGTTTTGTATTTCTTAATCTAAATTGTTAAAAATATTCTGATGCTTGATTAATTATACATGTTAGAGATATTCCTGTTTTTCTTCATGGAATTGGTTTAATCTAACTGAAAGGACTAGGAACTACTGCTTACCACTTTTTATTTTATTTATAGAAGCAATATTTTACCATGTTAGTTTTACAAATATATAACTTTTGAAATTAAAAATTTTCACTTTATTCATATTTTCCTTGATTAAAGACCTTAATGATTAAAAGAGAGTTGGCGAAAGATTCTGAATTAAGATCACAAAGTTGGGAAAGATTTTTGCCACAGTTTAAACACAAAAATGTGAATAAACGCAAGGAACCAAAGAAAAAAACTGTTAAGAAAGAGTATACACCATTTCCACCACCACAGCCGGAAAGTCAGGTCAGTATCATATCTTGAATTTTCTTTGTAAGAAGGGGAGACTATTTAATCAATTTTGTCAGAAATTTCATTAAGGGCATTTTAGGTGGAGTTTCTGTGTGTGTGTGTGTGTGTGTACACATATTTGAGTGTGTAGAGATGTAAGAAACTAACGCACTGCCATCGAGTCAGACTCAACACATAGCGACCCCTCCTTGGGTTGCCAAGGCAGTATCACTACGGAAGTAGATTGCCCAACCTTCCTTCCGAGGAGTGGCTGGCTGGTGGGTTTGAACTGCCAGCCTTTTGGTTAGCAGTCAAATGCCTTAAGCACTATGCTACCAGAGTTCCCATAAGAAACTAAAGGTAAGTGTAAATGAATTTTATTTGAAGCTAAGTTAATGGGGATGGGGGTGGAGTAAAGACTTTGCATCATGAGTGTCAACTGTGTCCCTGTAGCCACTATAAATGTTCTGTGGCTAAAGAGAAAACCAACAATTTAGCCTGGCAGTACTCTATTCTGCTTTATAGTATTCCTGTGATAATGTACTATATGACTACTCCAGCTTTAAAATTTTAAATCCTGGTGTCTATCCTTTCTCTAAGTTATGAATCCCTCCATTTTCACCCACTGTGTCAACTGCCTTCAGGTTCTTTTGCCACCTGGACCAAAATTTTTGATTCATCCTTGCCCATCACTCTTCTTTCATTCCCCACTTTTCCTTCTGGCACACCTGTCCTGCAATATAGTATGAATATAAATAGTGTATATAACACTAAAACTTGGATCAGTCCAAAAACGCAGTTTCTCTTGTACTGTGACTATTAGAGTTGCCTGAAGAAACTAGTATCTTTTGGTTAAATCCACCGTCAATTCCTATTTCCAACCTCAGGTTCTCAGTATTATCTGGCAGTTGTGTCCTCTTAAATTCTCTTAGACTCTTTATTCCTATCAGATGATTTTGCCTTTTAGTTTGCTAAAATAATAGAAAACTCACTGCTGTCTAATAGGATCTGACTCATAGCGACCCCTCTTTATGTTTCCAAGGTGGTACTACTACTGAAGTAGATTGCCCAACCTTCCTTCCAAGGAGTGGCTGGTGGGTTTCAACCATCAGCCTTCTGGTTAGGAGTCAAATGCCATGAGCCCTATGCCATCAGAGACAAGAATTTTCTCATTTTCCTCTTACCACAATTTTTTTTTTTTCTGTCTGTATCAACCCTTTCTTTTTACTTGTTTGAATTCCATCTTTACCTACTTCTTGAGGGATCTTGCATCATTATCCCCTGCCTGAGCTGTATCTTTTTTTTTTAATTGTGATTTGGGTGAAAGTGTACAAAGCAAATTCACTTTCCATACAGTGGCTCACATACACTACAATGCAACAGCTCCCCTCCCACTTCCTCCTCATAGTTACCCCCTTCCCTGTGTCCTTCCCTTAATGTACTCCTGCACCCTGAGCTATCTCCCTGCACATACACAGCCCTTCTATTCTCCCATGATTGTTCTCTCCAAGGAGTGTATCTACCTAGCGTAAATGTTCAGCTCATATGGCTGTCTGTTGTTTGGCTGGAAGCCACAGGAGTGGGTTCATTTCCAGCCCGGAAGGGCAGCTCGGGGCCATAGTCTCAGTGGTTCCATCAGGCTCTATCAGACCAGCAAACATGGTCCCTTTTTTTTTTTTTTCTAATTTTGAGTTTTGTTCCACATTGTTCTTCCGTTCTGTCCAGGATCTCCTACATTGATCCCACTCCAAGTGGTTGACAGTGATAGCCAGGCACCGTCTAGTTCTTCTGGTCTCATGGTCGTATAGGCTGTGGATCACATGGTGTACCAGTTGCTTGGACTAATTATTTCCATGAATCTTTATTTTTCTTCATTCTTCTTTGCTCAGGATGAGGAGACACCCATTGTTGCATCTACATGGCTGTTTGCAAGCTTTTAAGATCCCATTTGCTACTTGTCAAAATAGGATATGGAACACTGCTTTGTGTAGTATGTTATGCCAATTGAGCTTGATGTCCCCTGCCACTAGGATCCTGAGCCCACAGGTCCAACTGCTCGCTCCCTCTGGGTAGCTAGCTGTGGCCAAGAAGTGACTACAACCTTGTCCCTTGTAAGCTCTACCATATACCTAGGAATTCTTACAGAGCATACCAATACACTTATAGAAACCTTGTCTGCCAACCCTGTATGTGGTCTTGGGCAAACTCCCCCCTGCATAGACATACCTGATGGTTCAGCCTATCCACCCATCTATCCACCCATATAACCATGTTTGCCTTCACTGACAACGCTGTACTCTATGTGCAGAAGTGTTCATCTTTGTTGCTGTACCTCCCACATACTTCTCTATGTCTTCCTTTTCCTCAGTGCTACTGTGTTGATCACTCACTCATTTGGCACATTGCCCTTCTCTTCACCCAAATCAATACTTGTTTCTACTGATTTAACAGTGTTCCCTCGCCTCCCCCCCAACCCAGGAAACCAACAAAGAAAATTTCCTTCCATATATATAAACCTTTCCTTGACTTTTTTACAACAATGGACTAATACAATATTTGTCTTTCTGTGATTGACTGACTTCACTCAGCATAATGTCCTCCAAGTTCACCCATATCATGTGGTGTTTTGCAGATTCTACGTTATTCTTTAGGGTTGCATAGTATTCCATTGTGTGTATGTACCATAGTTTGGTTATCCATTCCTCAGTTGA